AGTGATGCCCGTCGGCACCTCTTGAATCGACACCGTTGCCGCAAGAGTAAACCCATAGTTTGCAAAGTGAAACGGCATTTTCGGCCACTGCTTGCACACAGGCCACTCGGCCCCCGCGCTACGCCCTTCGAACGTCAACCCACTGGGAACCTTTTTCGTCGCACCCCTCACAACGGCATTCACCCCAAGGTACTCGTCCTCCCACTTGTCCCCACGGAGCGTATCGGCCAAATGGCCCACAAGCCCAGCCGTGGGGATAGGAACAGAACAGTCCCATCTTGACAGCGCGGCGTCCGCAGCGCCTGTGCTGCATCGTCTCAAGGCATTGTCCTTCACGGCCCAGGTAGACAGCGCATGCCTTATCCTCTGCAGCTCATGCGTCAGATCCAGGAAGAAGGCTCCGGAGCTGCTTCCAACACCGGCCTCGTACAAACAATACAGCTTATCATTCGCGTACAACAGAGAGCTGGAGGTCGCGCCATACCCAGTGGGTAACAGGCCAACGTGGTAAATGCGGTTCGTGTCCGTTAGCCACAGGTGAATCTCGCTCCTTTCTTTGTCCCCGAAATATTCCAGCTGGGTGAGGAGGATCACCTTCTTCCCATCAATGGTTGCAGTGATGAATCCACCCTGAATGTGGAGCCCAGAACGTGCCAATGGGTTGCTCCACACGCGCGAGAGCGTCCCCAGAGCCTCCGTCCACGTGTTCCCCTTGTCAGTCGACTCGTACACCCTTCGGCGACCGTACTCACATGAGGTGATCATGATGATTTTCCCATCCTCCCATTCAAGGATACTGGGGTTGGTGCAGCCCGCATGTGTCGCGCTTTTCGCAAAGGTCCAGTGCTGTTGAGTGAAATTCATGTACATGATTGTGGACGCAGTGTCCCCTCCCATTGTCAGAAACTGCACGGGAAACACGAGCGTGCCATCCGTCATTTTCGTGATGGGAGTACTGGCATCGTTGAGGAAGCCAATCATGTCACCGGATTTATGGGGATAAGGAAGGAGAATGCTCATAGAGACGGAACTCATCGACAAACCTCCGCTTTGTCCAGGCCTTGTGTCCAGAAAATGGATAACAGGCTCCACACCACTTCCTCCCCACCTATTGGCATAATGAGGTCTGACTCCCTTCCGTAAGTCGTAACCCTCCACAAATGCAAAAAGCGATCCGAAGGGTCCAAAAGACGAGGGAAACGACATCCAGTAAGGGTGTGCAGCAAAACAATCAATATCTCCAGGTCTCGGGTACGGACTCCAATTCACCCCACGATTCACGCTAAGCTGCGCCGTCAACTGCATGGACGCACTCCCGCTCCCCACAGTTCTATTGAACTGAGCTCCAGCAATGGCCAGCAGCATCCCGTTCACATTCACAAGATGGGGATTGCGGAAAATGTGGCCAGGGATCGGTGGGTTTGCGGCCTGATGCTCCCTTGGCAACTGCCTCGAACCTTGTCTTCCATAGGAATCGTCCACTCCCGCTCCAAAGCTTTGGGCCTGCACAGGCCCCGCGGCGCCGCACATCAACACGAAAAGTAGGAGCAGCACCGCGGAGGTAAACACACGCCGGGACATGTTGGGCCTCGGCGGCTCACTCTCTCCTCCTTCCCCCCTCCTTCCGCTGGATCCGGTCACGCGGCGACGGTTGTGTGTGCGGGGTGCCTTCACAGCAGCAACACGTGAATGCATATAAATATGTGTGTGTGTGCGGTGTGTGTGCTGTGGTTGGAAATTTCAGAGCCTTCTAATTTCACAGTAGCGATTCGCGTTCGTTTGCTTGCTTTCCTAGCGTGTGTGTGTTCAAGAAGTGGAGAGTACAGCAGCAACAGCGGCAATACACAAGAAAGGTCAGTGAGGAGCAGAGCAGAGCACCCACGCAGAGAACGGGACAAAAGAGAATCCGGAAGGGGCAGCACGGAGGACCATCGCCCACACCAGCCCTCTGACACACACAGACAACATCGCAGCGCCGTCAGTCCGCGGGTGAGAGGATTCGGCCCTCCACACAACAAACGCACGCACCGCCAGCAATCAACCACCAATGGAAGGGGAAAAGAAGGGACACACCGCCACCGCCTCCAGTTCAATCCCACGGCCAACGGCATACGGCCACAGCCCCGCTGCCAAAACACAACGCACACGGAGCAAGCAATCACCCAAAGAGCCGCACGCAGAAGCAATTCCTCATCCATCCACGACGCGGCGCCTCACTTCATGCGGTCACAACGCGGCGCCCCCACACCATCAGGAAGAGACACTCGCCCTGCGCGCTGCCTCTCCCCTCCCTTCGCCTCATGCCCACGGGAAAAAGCAGCACCCACACGCTGCTGCCACACGCACCGCAAAAGAACCATCCGAATCCACTGTGATTTGCACTCTGTGTGCGTGTGCTTGTGCGTGCCTGCAGAAACACGAGGTAAAGAAGTAAAAAAAGAAACGGAGCATGTGAAGAAACGCAAAAACAAAATGCACAGCAGAGCCGCATGGTAGAAATAACATGACTGCTCAAACTCACGATTGCACCGCAGCCCAAGCAGTGGCGAGTCATACAAGATTTATTTAAAACAATTACCAATAAAAAAAACCTCCCCTTTCACCATTATCTTTCCAGCCCGCACAAATTAATTATATAAAAAGAAAAAAAAGCAAGAAAGGAGTCGTCCTCCGTTGCTCTTACTCCTAAAAAAGGAAAAAAAAAATCACCCGTTTACCGTGTGGCCCACCAAACTGTTTGTATATTTTGCCCACAAATTTAAAATTAAATAATTACTTGTCTTTCAACCGTCTGACCTCCATGTGTCCGCACATCGTTTATATTTCATGGGGTCATCTGCGTGTTGCTGCTCCCCTCAGCCCTCTCAGCGGCGTGTGAGTGCGGCCCGCAGAGCACAGTCACTCGTGTGTGGGGGGGCTGAGAGAAGCACGCAGACATGACGGGAGTCGCGCCACTCCATCGGGGGAGTGAGCGCAGCAAAAAAAAAACACATCAGGGGGGAAGAAATACTCACGAGGCCGACCCCGAAGGGACTGCCGGAGCGTGAAATGCACACGCGAAGCAAAAAAAAAAATCCTAAAAAAACGGCAGGGTGTGGCTGTGTGTGTGTGGCGCTGCGGGTGTCTGCCAGCCCTGGCCGCAATAAAAACAAAACAAGAGGGAAAGAAATGTGTGCTCCGCCCCACAGGCCCTCGTCGCACGCCCACACGTCACGGCTCCCTCAGCGCGCCGTTCGTCGCGGCCCCTCCTCATGCGTGCAGCAGGCGAGGCGCACAGGGCCGTCGTCATGAGCGTGTCGGTGGGTGTGCGAGTGGAGCAGTTGGGCGGGAAACACACGGCACCCCTCACAGGAAGAGCGCAGCAAGAAATAATTAAAAAGAGGGAAAAGTAGAAAAGAAAAAACGTCCATAGTGATCGCCCCCAAAAGCAAAAAGAGAAGGGAAGAGTGGAGCAAAAAAGAAAAAACAGAAATATTTTTTTTTTTAAAAGCAAACAAAAATAATTAAAAACAAACATAAAAAAACATAAGAAATTATACTCCAAACAGAAAAGAAAAAAAATTAAAAGCCGGAAAAAAAAAACGCCCATGGTGGTTGCCTTAGGGCAGCAAGGGAAAAATGTAAAACAAAGCAATAAAAAAAAAAACAAGTTATTCACTGTGTAGTAAAATTTTATTCCTAGGGGTGTGTGTGTCGGTGCAGGGAAGGGCGCAAGTGCTCCACACGGCAGCCGCACACTCCTCACGCAGCCGCAAACCCCCACAGCCCCAGCAGAAGAAGCAGCGGCAGCAGTCCGCTCTCACACACAGTGTCGCCATCACCATTTGCCCCGCCACCACTCGTTGCTCCTCCAGCGGCATGGGAGTTCAAAGCCGCCGCACTCCCCACAATTCCCTGCGATGGTGCCGCCGGCACTTGCTGTGTGGTGGCAGATTCACCCATAGCTGTGTGTTGTTGCTTTTCACGTTCTTTTCTAAACGGCTGCGAGGCCGATTGCACCACTGGAGCTTCAGGAGTTTTCTTTGCAAGAGGCGTCGCAGTTTTATCCTCCCCCACGGACGGAGAGGCAGCTTCAGTTGGCTGCAGACCTTCCGATGTCGAATCGATAACCGTATCCTCCTCCACGCACGTATCAGAAAAAGTCAACGGGCGGTTGTACAGCAGGACGTTCGACACAGTCACATGCACCTCTTCTTCTTGGCTCCCTGCATTGCCTCCATCCCCTCCAATGTAGAAGTGGGAAATCTCTTCCAAAGCCTCATTTTGCACTCCACGTCGCGCATCGCCCACACACACACACCGGCCATCGACGTACACGGAGCTCTGGCTGCCTTTCTGTAGCACAATGGCCACTTGGTGTGTTGTCCCCTCTGAATCCCAAGTGCTGCTGTGCTCCGCGGTCTTTTCGCCATCGCACAGCGCCTGCCACCTATTTCCGCTGTCGTATGACAACTCCATAAGTTTGCTTCCTACCTCGCTGCCCGCACGCACACCCATCAAAGGAACAGGACCCTTCTTCGGCTCACCGTCGATAGACACCGTCGCCACAAGAGTGAAGTTGTAGTTCGCAAAGTGGTACAGCTGATTCTCCCCCTGCTTGCCAACCGGCCATTCCGCCCCCGCGCCACGCCCTGTGAACTTCACGCCATCGGTAGTCCCTGCTGCCCCAACACCGCTCTTCACGGTGGCGTTCACCCCGAGGTACTCGTCCCTCCACGTGTTCTCAGAGAAGTTGCCGGACAAAAAGCCAACCAGACCATCCGTCGGCATGGCGGTGCTGCATTGAGCAACGGCCGAAGGGCTCTCCTTGACAATTGGAAAAAGGCACAGCTTGGAGACACGTTCGTCCACTTCCTTCCACGTCGCCAGCACCTCCTTCACCCGCCTCAGCTGCGCTGTCAGAAGCACAGACCAAAGACTGTGTGATGGTTTGCCCTCACCGCCCTTCTTCTTCTCGTACAGTGCAATCAACTTCTCCTCCTGCTCATTAGTATCTCCACTTCCAGCATTTTTGTACAGCAGGGAGCTGGCGGCAACGTCCTCAGCTTCCCCGGATACCGGCCCAATATCAACAATGTGCGCATTGTCCGTCAGCCAAAGATGAAGTTCGCCCTTTCCATTTTCCTCATTTTCCCTCTCCGTAGAAGGCACCGGCAGAGTGACGAGCATCACACTTCTCTTATTATCATCGCCAACAGTCACTGTGACGAACCCGCTTCCAACCGCCTTCACGTTTGTGCCTTTTGGATTGCTCCACACGCGCGAGAGTGTCCCGAGTGCCTCCGTCCACGAATCCTCCTTGCCACCAAACTCGTACACCCTGCGGCGGCCATCGTCACACGCAGTCATCATCATGAGTATTCCCTTCTCCCGCTCCACGACGGAAGGATCACTGCAGCCATCGGCAGACATCCCCTTCGACAGCTTCCAATCCGAAGCATCCGAAGAGTACATGAGCAGTGAGACAGTCTTTCCGCCCACAACTTCGCTCTGCCCCAAATTCTTCTTTGTGGCTTCCACTGGCAAGACAAGCGTGCCGTCATTAGTCTTAATACCAGATCCACCACCGCCAATCAGCCGCGTCAAGTGTTCGTGATTGCCCTCGGAGAAAGTGCGGACCAGTCGCTGGTTCTCATTCCATTGGATTTTTCGGTTGCCTCCCTCGCCACTGACTTTCCCTTTCACCAACAAAAGTCCCCAGTCATCGGCACCAGTCTCCTGAGGATTAGTAGCAGCTGTCCGGCTGTAGTTTCCAACAAGCATGTAAATATCATTTTCCTTCACAACTGTTGTTGGTTGGCTCACATCTACTTCCTTCTCCCCTGTGGAAGTGACTTCCTTCAAAAATTGTGTATCCTTGACATCCTTCACCACTTCCTCCGGTTCGTTAGCCTTTGCTGTCGTCACAAGTTGGGATGCAATGCCAGCAAAGCTGTCTTGACCCTTCTTGCACTGCGCCTCAGCAACGGCAAACACGCCACTCCCCACTTTCAAAAGGCCGGGAACACCCAACGAGTCCACAGTTACATCACCATTGGCGTCCTTCCATTCAAACTTTGGATCAGCCCCCGAAGCACTGTTCTCCGCGTGAGCAGCTCCACTGCCGCACATCATCACGACGAGAAGAAGCAGCACCGCGGAGGTAAACACACGCCGGGACATGTTGGGCCTCTGCGGCTCACTCTCTCCTCCTTCCCCCCTCCTTCCGCTGGATCCGGTCACGCGGCGACGGTTGTGTGTGCGGGGTGCCTTCACAGCAGCAACACGGGAGAGCATATAAATATGTGTGTGTAGGCGGTGTGTGTGCTGTGGTTGGAAATTTCAGAGCCTTCGAATTTCACAGTAGCGATTCGCGTTCGTTTGCTTGCTTTCCTAGCGTGTGTGCATGTAGGAGGGAAGAGAAAAAAAGGAAAAAAGCCCGTAAAGAGGTGAGACGGTGAGCACCGCCACCCATCCACACTGTGAATGGCATCAACATAAACTCTGCCGCAGTTATCCCCTCCCATCGCTAAATCATGGGAAGGCTAAAAATAAAAAAACGGCATAACAACAAGAAAAGGGACCTTAAATGTATGCGCACTGCCACGGCCTGTGGTCTTTTCATTGTCTCACTGTAACCCATCAATTGCGGTTCTTAATCGCTCTAACGCAATTGCAGAGGAAAGAGCCCCATTGAGACCACGCTGCACATTCCTCGCAAGACGGTCAGGATGCACAACGTATGCAATTCGTCGCGCTTTTTTCACAATGTCACGCTGAAACGACGCCCCCTCTTCCGGAACAACAAGGACTATCCCGCGGTAACCCTCATTTGCGGCGTGCCGAACGGCTGCATGCACGGAATCAGAATCATCCAGGTATACATCGGTCCCTATCATATGTGAGGCGTGGAAATTCATCATGGGGTGATCGGGATTCATCCCATAACTGCCCTGAAGCCACTCCTGAAGAAGCGTGCTCTCGGGCCGAATAAACGTGGCGTCCTCGTCACCGTTTGGGTCCTCATAAATCTTAAGATACGGATAGTACTGATAAAGCAGCCAAATGGTGTACCCCTCAAGAGACTTTTGGCATTGCGCATCATCAACGCCCGAGCAAAATAACGTCTTTATGAGGTGCTGCGTGCCAAGTGCCCCGCGGCGGTTGAATTTCCGCCGATGGAGCACAATCATTTGCTCACAATTAAAAACATTCGCGTTGCGCATGATCGCACCGATGTTTCGGTCGCCAAATTCATTGTACACCATGACAGACAGCTGCATTGGATAGGACATGCGCCTCGCTCTGAGGATTTCGGCAATTTCCACATTTGAAAGTGACAAAAGATTTGTTTCATGAGGGAGGTTATTCCCTTTTGTCACCTTCAAACTCCCATTGCTTAGTGGCATATGACCTCGTGATGAACATGGAGAAACTCTGTCGTCATCCCTCATATATTGGTCAACATGTGCACTGGCTGCAGAATGCAAGGCGATAGCCATGGCAGAAATCATCGATAGGGAGCCAATCGATCCATATTGGGGTATATAAAGGCAGTAGTCACACTGTGAAACAACATTCTCAGACAACCCATTCTCCATCCCAAGCACAATCTCCACACCACCGTCACAGTCCTCATTGCCTGTGCGCCTTTCCCCCGCCTCGCGAATGACTTTTCTCCATGGAAAGCTTTGTACTGGCTGTGCATCAGGATGAGAGGGGGTGAGAGCCACTTTTGGCTTGTGTCGCGAAAGGCTTGCCCCGACTTCTGCATGCATGTAAAACAAACGGTTTCCCCCGTACATGATGTCCATGGAGGGTGTGGTGTTGACCAGTGGACTCAATATTTTGGGGTGCCCGGTGCCAAAGAACATCGCGAGGCGCAGAAGGCACCACGCATTGTACGCAAATTTGATGTCCTCCACCGTTAAGCTGACAGATCCAAGCAGCGGCAAGTGGGACTTCCGCTGCGGCCAGTTAATGGAGTACGCCCATGCATCAAAGTCACGCTTGAGTAGGCAAACAGCCGACCACTTCATTGGTTTCGCTTGACCCCCGCTTAAACTTTGTCTGCGTCTACAAACACACCAAAAGATATAAAGTAAAAGTAAACAAACAATGTTCAATAAATAAATAAATAAACAAGCACGTTAAATGGAGAAAACTCAACAGCCAGCGTTCGCACGAAGAGCCCAAGTAAAAAATAATAATAATGATACCGGTGGAATTGTCTCATCTTCTCTGTGGATGTTCGTGTGAGTGTGTATGTGTGTGTCCGTCTCTTTCTATTCACGGGGCCTCACACGAGTTCCTCGGAGGAGGTCTTGAATAAGCACCCGCGATGGGTCGTCATACGGCACATCCTGCGGCACCAAAAGGCGATGGGAACGAGCGGGAGTCGCAAGACGCACGTCCACAGCAGAGTTACCCCCAATAGGATCAGAAACCGGCAACCGCAAAATGGGCGCTCGTTCCAATAAAATTCCCTTTGAAGTGGAAACTGGTGTCTTCGAGCGCAAGGAATCCACAAACTGAAAGTGGTTTCGTAATGCAGCAAAACGCCGCAGACGCGCCACCGCCTCCACGTAACCTGTTGGCACGTATGCGGAAGGTCCAGTGGGTTCTTGCCTCTCCACATGGGGAGTGGGTGCTGCGGCCTCCAGACGATCCACAGATGCCGGTTCAGGGCCTAACTTTGCCGTGTATGACTTTGTCGGTTTGTTCCAGCTCTGAGCAGTAAATGACATATGTCGAGAAATCGGTTTCGTCAAGGGCACACCATCCTCTGGTTTCATACTCGCTTTGGTTAATACCACGGCCCCTCCTCCTTCTCCTCCGGTTGTTGTTCCTGTTTCTAAATTAGATATCGGTGGTGACGACGCTCTTTTGCGCCTCCTTTCCGCATCCTCTATAAGGCGGCGGAAAACCCCTCCCGTTGTTGTTTTGGGTGATAGGGAACGCCCACGTTTGGGTGAACGCTCTAGCGCGTTGTTCCGCCGCTGCGGCAATGAATTGGAGCGGGACCGTCTCAAACTTGACAGTGTTGGCGATGCAAAGCGCACATTTAGCGGTGTGGCGGCATGGCTCTTCCCCGCTGAAAGATCCCGCGGCCGCCTTGAAGAAATCGCAGCCTGTAGTGCTGGCCGGGATTCTTTCTCCTGACCTGACTGTTGCTTCAACTCTTGCGGTTGTGGAGGCTGTGTCTCGCGAGCCTCGGACGTGGAATCACAAGGCGCCCTGGCGAGCCCGTCAGTCTCATGTTGATGCGGCGTCAAATTGTCTTTTCCCCCATGCAAGTGCCTGCGCGGTGCAGGTTTGGGAATCACGACAGGATCGCCGCGCAGGTGTTCATAAAGGCATTGCGCGGCCCATGGCAAGTCATCGACAAAAGACGTCGGTCGGCCTCGCACCATGTCGTACCAGCAGTCGTCCAGGCGCTCCATGTCCCACGCACAGCCAAGCCGCTGCAGCAGCGGCCCCAAGTCACAGTACCGCAACGCCCCAGCGAAGCCACCCTTCTCCCGTGCCTCAGAAATCAGCTCGACCACCTGCGCAGGAACATGCCTCATGGATGCCGGCTCCGTCTGCATGGACACGGAACTCGAAGGTGAGGGAGGACTTCGGCCCCGGCAGCCCTCCGGAATCTGCATTTGGCGCCCCACCCACCACGCCGCTCCTCCCTTTTCACCCACACGTGTCTCTCAGCTCCGCAAGGCGGAAAGTAGAAGTAAATACCGGGCAACACGCCGTAAAAATAAAAAAAGGGAAAAGAAAAGCAAACAAAAAAAAAAGAACGTGGCGAAGTTTAAATTTAAGAAAAATAAATAAAAAAGAAAAAAAAAATCAACACATCCCGCACCCCCCCCCCCCCCCCACCATCCACGCAAAAGTGAAAAAAGAAAAGAAAAAAAACCACGTGTGGTCCAAATAAATTTTGCACTTCTTTTTGTTTTTTATTTAATGTCTTTTATTTCTTTTTTTTTTGCTTTTTTTTTTCTTTTTTCTTTTATTTGTTTTTGTTCTTTTCTTCTCTCCGCCTCTTCCTCGGCCCCGTCGTTGTTTTCTGTTGTTTTCTGTTTTTTTTTTTTGTTTTTTTTTTTTTGCATTAGGCGGCAGTAAATGCGGGATGGAGACATCGACGTGAGTACGTCTTGAACAAGCGGTGAATTTCAGCCACCACCAACCAGGCGTCCACAATTCGCCTTGTCTCCGTCCAGCTTGTGGACACCCGTAATTCATAGTCCTCCTGCACACAGACACGTGCCTTAAACAAATAATAATCCCACGGCACCTCCCCGCCAAGGCACGTCTGTGCGTTTGGACTTGTGATCCACGGCTGTAGCCACTCCTCCACGTCTACAATGGACTCCTTCTTCTTGTGTCTCCTGCCTTCGCCGCCATCCCCTGCTAGGGAGGCGTATTCATTGTAAAAGTGCAGTGCCTTACTACTTATGAACGTTGTGGCCGTCTCATCAAAGTTCAAAAGAAGGAAAAGTAAATTGTTCCACTCATTGTCATCGAGAAAAGCCACAAGGCGTTCACACTCGGTCTGTATGCGTGTCACGATACACTGCTGAAGAAAAACATGATTCCCAGACTCTTCCGCCTCTGTGAGAGTAGGGGCGGTGGAGACTGCAGCGACAACACTTTTCATCAGGCCGGAAGTAAACTCCAACTCCGCCACAATTAAGTAAGTTGCTCGATCTTCGTAAACAATACATGGTGGACCTCCCCCATCCACTCCCTGTGACGCACCCGCAGCTACATGTACACCGAAAAATTTATGCAACACGGGTTTACCCTCCAGGCCTAAAAATACACCTAAAGGACTTCCCCAGCATGCTAGGTATCGGTTGATAATTTCCTCTTTGCCACAGTGAGACCCTTCCCCGATTCCCTCCTCGCTGTGTTGCCTCTTCCAGCTCCCTGTGTAGCATTGCCACACCCGTGCACAACGCATCGCAAACAGTGCCACGCTGGCGACAAGAAGAATATACAACTTTTCTCTTTTATATGCAAATGAGCCGATGGATAAATGCTCATTCCAATGCCGGAGCAACGCATCCACAGTCGTAATTCGTTTTCCGTCTAAGCAAAAAAGATACTCATAAATGGGTGGGTTCACCGTTAAGTAAGTTCGACATTTGATCTGGAGGCACCGCTCCTGTCCAAACTCCCGCAGCTTCTTGTCGACAATACGCGCCACGCTCGCAATAGGGAGATCGTTGTGTTTGCATATTTTCTCCATGTACAACTCAACAAACCCGGGTGGCGAGGCTTCCTCAATGGCCCGCTTC